AAAAACCTTCATTTTGAAGACACTTTAAAGCATTAACAAAAGCAAAATTTAAGCTTATTTTACTTATTCATATCATCTTAAATGTCAATTGCCTCTTCATTTGAGATCAAAATAAGAGATAATTACTTTCACAGAAAATGAAAACTTCCTAAAGGATTAAGATGATATATTCAACAGATGTCTCCTAAATGATTCTTTGCTGACAGTATCAACTTCCCATAGCACTGTGATGGCAAGAAAAGACAGGAAAGATCAGACTTAGGTTATGGTTCTCAGAACAAATAAAAAAAGAATAATGTGTCATGTAAATAACATAACACAGCCTGGGTCACTTGAAATATATTTGCTTTGTGACAGACCCACCATTTTGAGATAATCGGCTCTGATTTTAAGCATTGCCGTATTATCAGTGGCATAAACCTTTAGCAGTCTCTTGATGCCCTATCAAAGCTACTCCATTTATTTCAGTTAACTTTTAGCATAACAGAAAGGGTTCTGGATACTAAAGTAATGAGTTGGGACACTGAGGTCAAATGCATATTGAGTTCGAGGGTTTCAGAGAGTTTGCAGAAGGCTAACTCACGTGCGGGCTAGTGGAGCTCGGAGGGTCTAACCTGACTGGCTGGAAAAGCTGCTGTGCTCATCCAGAAGGTCTCCACGGTGTGGGTTAAGTCCCACAGTTTCAAGACTGAGCACATCAGTATCTCAGAATTAACTGTGTTATGAATGTCACTAACCGTTGCATTGATAAACACTCCCTTGGACGATACAACATGCTTCCATCATTGACAACAGTAACAAGATATCTATATAGTAAATAGATTATAAATGTTGAATATGCTAATTTCAGATTTGGAGTTTGTCCATGAGGAAGTCGCAAAGGAGAACCTATGAGATGTTCACTCGTTTATTCTGATGGCTTGAAGAAAGGGATGAATTGTCTGCATATAAATTGTCTCATTCTTTCAAGTTCAGATGAAAAATGTGAGCACTTGGTTGAAAAAGCTGAATCACTTCAAGATGGCACTGCGGGTTAGTCTAAGCTTGACCTGTTCCTCTCCCTCCAGCAAGCATTCCTGTCCTCTTTGGCAGTCTCTGCTGGCAAGGGTAATGTAAACAGGAAGTTTGGGGCTTCAAAACACCTCAGTGAGAAAATAGCCAAGACATGGAGCCAGAAAGAGTGAGTGGAGGGGAAAGGGAATGCGGCCTTATGTCAGCTTTACCAGTCCTGATCCTGAGGTTCTTTCCTTTCGGGCCTGCTTTCTACCGAATTCCTTTGGTAAAGTTAGGGATGGTCCCTTCTTTTTCCTCAAGAAGTCACAACATTGTGCAAGTCCTAACAGGGAAGGTGTATACAGTAAATGGACTTTTACAAATGTTTTTATTTAGGGACGCCTGGGTGGCTAGGTAGGTTAAGCGCCTGACTTTGGCTCAGGTCATGATCTCAGGATCCTGGGATTGAACCCCACATCGAGCCCCATGTCGAACCTCATGTCGAGCGTCATGTCTGGCTCTGCACTTGGCAGGGAGTCTGCTTCTCCCGCTGCCCCCCCCTTCCCTGGCCGACTCATGCTTGCCCGCAAGCTCTCTCTTTTTCTCTCAAATAAATAAATAAAATCTAAACAACAACAACTGTTTTTATTTAATATTTACATATGAAGAAGAAACAACTACACCCCTGGTGACTATTCCCCCCTATTTGTTTTTTGGATTGGAAAGTTGAGGTTCCGGACAACTCACATCATTCAAGGTATTTAAGGTGCTGTTTCTATTAAGTGAGAAAGCTGGGTCTCAAAGTCAAGTGTTCTGATTTCTTGCTTAGAGCTTTTGCCTACACTTCTGATGTACCAGGGCATAGTCTGGGACTCTGTTTTATTTACGTATTTTTATATCCCTGAGGCCTAGAACCATGCCAGGCATCGAGTATATACTCATTAAATGTTAGATGAAAAGTTAGGATTTATTGTTTAATACTTTCCCTTGTGAGGAGAAAGATGCTACCTCAACCCTTGTAAGGGAATTTTCGGGAAGTCCAAGTATACAGTGGGAAGGGAAGCAGGTTCAGAACTGCTTGCCCACACTCTATTTTCCTGCCAAGGTAGACGCTCCAATGTTGAGTGGTTTGAAGGACACTCCTCAGAAGTCAAGAATTCACTGAATGATGGCGCTGTTTCTGTGGCCGTGCTATTGCTTATTTCCTGCTCTGTGCCCACCTTCTAGGTTCACAGTCTCAGATGTCACTGAGGACAACAAGTTCCCTGTCTGTCCTTCACGAGGTTACTGGGGACAGGGTGTCACCCAATCCCACTGTGCTGTAGGAGACCAAGTATCTTATAATGAAATAAATCCCCTCTAAGTCTTTCCTGGGGACTGGCAGATGCCCGATTCCCTATTTTGTATGGATGTTTGATGCGGGAAAGTGACCCCCAGGAAAGCTTAGGAAGGCCTGAAAGGCAGCTGACAGGGGCCTAGGGGAGAACGTCCTTTAAATAACTAAGACCCACGGCTGTAGCAAAGTAAACCAAAGTGATAAGGACAGAAAAATAGAGCCTGGAGAAAGTCTGTCATTTAAAAAAAAAGTGAAAAATGAAAAAATAAAGGCTGTAATAACAACCAACCAAAAAAATCAGCAGAACAAAAGGAGAAAACTCGCATCATTTTCTGCCCCAGAATATCATCATTGTTGAAAGGAGGTGTTTTGAAACAAAGGATGATGTTCAAGTAGTTATACTTGACCAATATTTTTTAATGATTGCCATCTCCTTTATCTTAGAGAGGTAAGTGGACTGAAGTGGACAAGGGGCTCTGTTTGGGACCATTGGATCCGTCTTTTCTCCTGCACTGAACAGAGCCTGCCAAGACCAGGAAACTGAACCACCACCTAGCAAGCTTTCTTGTCTTATTCTTAGATTACTGCTCATCATTGAAAAGGCTTCCTGATAAAAGATACAAAAAAAAAAAAAAAAAACCACGACCAATTATGAAATATCACATAGTATACATTTTGTATAACTTTCTAACAGTCAGTGATCTCAGCCAAGGACAACGTGATCTCTTCCTTTTCGCCTTATGCCATCTCTATTTAAAAAATCTACCGCACGATTTTACATTTCCTCTTTCACATCCCTACTTTTATATCTTATGTTCCTTTTCTACCTTTGCCCTCCTACTTGAAAAAAGTCCCCAGGCTCTGTTGTGTTTTGGCCACATACTCCCCTTACTCTCATGGTGCATGTTTTCTGTCCAGCTGCTTTCTGTCTCTCTCTGGAGCCTCTTTATACACTGCAATGAGCTGCCCTGTGTGCAATTCTAATCTTAGTTTTATTTTCCATGTTAGTTGTATACCCTCATTTATGTTTTTCAGCATAGATTTCCAGCAAAAAAGTTTATGTCAAATAAAAACAACAGCTTTAACGATGTTTAAAAAAAATCACACAAGTATTGCACAAAATTAGGCGACCTGCAAACCATTTAAAAGTAACCCGTTAATGTAATTTTCGTTCTTTTCCAAAACCCCCAACAAGGCCCGGTCTGCCGAAGCAGGATTTGCTCTCCCAATGCCCCTCCCCCGCGTTGCTGCAGATTCTGGCCTGGAGTCCCGGCTCATCGGTAAAGGGGTCTACTGCTGAAACTGTTCCGCGCTCTGGGAAGAAGATAAAACCGCGTCTAAAGCTGTGTTGTGCGCCTTCTCGTCTTTTACAAGGAACAGGACGATTCGCAGAAAACGTGCAGGAGAGCAGACAGCAGAAATCTGTTCCTCGGGCTTGATGACTAGATGAGAGCTCTGGAGCGTGCTCTGCCTGGATTCGTGTGCCTGGCCGGCGGCGGGACCGAGGAGCGCGGAGCCGGTGGCCGGGTGGCTGGGAGTCTGGGGTCCCCCCGAGACACTTGGTGTGAAGGTCTCTCTGGCCTAAGGCACCACTGGTTCAGCTTTTGGCTCCTCCTCAGAAGAGCTGCGGCCTCTCCACGATAACGTTAATTATGATGCACAGTAAGTGGTCATTTACGGGTGGCCGAGGACCCAGAAGCCTTGGGGGTTCTCGTTCGAACAGCAGCGCGACCGCCGCCTCCGGAGACCGGGACTGTGATGAGCCATGTCCGTGCGCCCTGTCGCCGCGCGCGGGCCAAGCCCCCTTGTGCATTTGTTTTCATGACGGAGACACGTCAAGGTCTATCCATTAAAGAGAACAGTGACGACGAGCCTCCTGTACCCACCACCCACCGTCACCGACTCAGCTTCTTGCTCATCTCGCTCCATCCGTCGTCTCCATCCTCCCTCTTCCTATGAGACACTGAGAAGCACACCCGGGAGACGGGCGCGTTTTACTCATGTACATTCCTGCAGGCGCCCCACGGTCTTAGGAGAACGCGACAGGTTAGAGCAAGGCGGACCGGCAGCACAGAATAAAGGCTGTCCCGCTACCACAGCTCTCTGGAGGCAAGAGGGGGACACTGCAGCGACCGGCGGCGGTGGCGGCTGGCCAGGCCTGGACCCCAGGGTCAGGTCTCTCTGCCTGCGGAGCTAACAGGCATGCGCGATCCGAGCCCCAGAGTTGCTAAGGCCCCAAGGAAGATAGAAGCTCCGGATAAGACGAAAGCCAATCAGAGGGCTCGAAGACGAATCGGCCAGCCAATCCGGATTCGAGAATGCATCAGCTGCTCCGCGTTCTAATCGCTCGACCAGTATCCAATCGGAGAGCGGGCTGCTTTGGGCGGACTTTTCAAAACAGCAAAAGCAAAACAAATGGGGACCTTTAAAAGGTGCACTGCGACCAGAAACTATCTCCTTCCGCCTCTCCAACCTACCGGTCCCTTTCCTTCCCCGTCCCCGGATCAGTCGCAGAAAGCCGACTTCTAGCTCTCCACCCTCCGCCCAGGATCGAGAGGGAGAGGCGGCTCGGCCAGGCCCGGGGGGGCGGGGGGGGGGGGCGGGAAGAGGGCGCAAACCCGGCCGCGGACCTTGGCCCAGGGCGGGACTCTTTTTCAAAGGCTTCTGCGGCAGCCGCGGATCCCTCCGCGGGGAGTCACGTGCCCCGCCCCTTTGGGGGCGTCGAAAACTCAAAACAAAAACACGGGATCAGCTCTGGCCTCCGCGGTGGAGGCAGCGGTGCCCGCCGGAGACTGGGCTCGGGGGGTCGGCGCTGCGCCCCAGCTGGAGGGTGGGCGCCCGCGGAGCAGGATGAAGCGCGGGCTGTGAGGCGGCGGCGGCGGCAGGGGCTGGGGGAAGGGTCCGATGCGGGTCCGGGGGCAGCGCTGAGGCGGCGGGTCCCCGGCCTCCGGAGACAGGTTCGGACGCCCCCGCCGCAGCCCGCGGTCGCCGGTGGTCGCCGGACCGCGACGTTGCGGGCTGGTGGAGGCGCGGCTCCGGCGCGGTGAGTGGGCTCCCAGGGACCGCGGGGTTTCTTTGTTCGCGGTGGGGACTGGGCCGGGGGTGGTGTCGGCGTCCCCCCTCGTCAGCCCCGGGGCGACTCCAGCCCTGCCTCAGCGGGCGGTGGGCTCTGGACGCGGAGGGATGCTGGCGGGAGGGGCGCAGTCGGCGAGGCCGGAGGCAGTTCTTTGGCCGCACCCCCCCATTTTATCACGGGGGTCGCTGGGGTGGTGCTTCCTGGATTGACAGCCCCGGGGCTCGGCGCGGTGGAGGCGCCTGGGCGCCTGCTGACGGACGGTGTCGTCCGGGCACGGGCGGACCGCACTGTCGGGTCCCGCCGCCCTCCCGCTCTCGGACCGCGCTCTCGCCCCTCGTGTGGGTCCGGGGTGGGTGGATCCGGGGTAGGCTCCGCCGCGGCGGCTGCGGACGGCTCGGGGGCTGGACGCTGGCGAGAGGGGCTCCCGGGCGAGGCGGGGCTCGGCAGTCTCCTCCCTCCGCTTCTTTGTTCGGTCGCGAGACTTTCTCTCCCCGCCCCCGCATTGTGCAAAGCGCCCACCCCGGCCCCGGAGCCGTGGCGGCCCCGGGGGCTTTCTGCGGGGAGAAGCCCCTCCCCTCGCGGCCTCCGGTGGGGCGGCCGCCCGGACGCCGCCGCTCGGGGCGGCTTCCTGTTTGCGAGGGGGCCGGGAGGCCGGGGCTGGCCGGTCTGACCCGGCGCTGGCCGGCGGCCGGGCCGCGGCCCCTCCCCCTGCCACACCTCCCCGGAGGCGGGGGAAGCCTGCGCTGGGGCTCGGGAGGACGTGACGGATCCCCTCGCCCCCTGCTCCCCGGGTTGTGCCAGGCGCCTCCCGCCCGAGGTACCGGCGCTGGCTCCTTCCTGCCCCCAACCCCCCCTCCTCCGGTGCCCCCCTAACCGCGCGGTGTTTTCGCTGCAGATGAAGGACCTGGGGGCAGAGTACTCGGCGGGTCGAGAAGGGGTGCAGCTCTTCGGATTGCTGAGCCTCTATCTGGAGCAGGAGCAGAGATTCCAACCTCGGGAGAAAGGGCTGAGCTTGATCGAGGCTACCCCGGAGGTAAGCGCACGGAAGGGCTCCTTTCTCAGGCACCTGACCGGGCTCGGAGAAGGACGGCTCCCCCCTGCCCGCGCCCCCCCAGTTGATTTAAGGTTAAAGGCTGCAGAGTTTCTTAAGACCAAAATTTGTCTTCTGGAATACGAAGCTGCATCTTATAGGGTTATGCAAGAACGAGAGTGCCGTGAACTCCAGAGAAGTGTTTCCTCGGGCGTGCCGCCCGCAGCCTGCCCGTTCTGGGTGGGAGACTCCCCGGGAACGGAGTACTTCGATTGTGGGTCTCCCCTCTGCCCCTGAGATACTCCACAGTAGGCTCTTAGACTTTTTATTTAATAAAACAAACGATCTCTATTATAGGGGAATTATTTCTGCTATAGTTCTCTGGAAGTGTGACAACAGTTCACTTTATGTTGGATTGCTGAGGCATTTATGCGCGCGCGCGCGCGCTCTCTCTCTCTCTATATATATATTGTGCTGTGTATTTTTAAAAAGCCATGCTATAGATGTGTGTCTTGTATTTGAAAAAGTGTATCATTAGTTATATGATACCACTCTTTCCTCCCATAGTCTTGAAGGTTAAGAAAAAAAAAATGACTTTATTTGATTCTAATTGTGTGTATTTATCCATCTAGTTCTAGGAAAGTCATAACTTTGGTTCTTGGTTTTAATTGCAGGATGATAACACTTTGTGTCCAAGATTGAGAAATGCCAAAGTAGAAGATTTAAGGAGTTTAACCAACTTTTTTGGATCTTGCACTGAAACTTTTGTCCTGGCTGTCAATATTTTAGATAGATTCTTGGCTCTTATGAAGGTATCGAATCCCTTTTGTATATGCATCTTTATCTTCCTAAACTTAGTGCTCAGCACAGTGCCTAGCATACGAGTGTTCGATAAACGTTTGACAAGTGAATGTAATTATGTCACTACATAGAAACATTTTTAATTGGAATTAGGACCTTCAGTGCCAGAGTGAGGGACTACAGAATTAACTGTGTTGTATTTTATGTTTTGCTGTTACCGTTGATGCACCTTCTCTTTGATAATGTGACAAAACGGAGACCGCTGTTTTTAGGTATTACTTAACATACCTACACAGTCCTTAGAATGAGGTTTTTGTATTTTTATATCTCATCATGTTTCTCTTGGAGATTCATTGTTTCTAATACTGGAACATGACAAATGGAAGTATAAGGGTATATTAAAGGTGACCTACTGCCTTCCCTGCGAGAAGTCTTTTCAAAGCAGGGAGCCATAGTCTTACTAACCAGCAACTGTTAGAAAAATGTGGTGATTCTTGGGCCAATAGGATTGCTGTCAGCTGCTGGGTCAGTTTTCAGGACACTGAAAAGAAAAGGGCAGCCATCTGTCCACGGCAGCTTTACATATGCTCTGCACAACTGATGCAATATTTCTCTTGGGCAGATTTGCACTGAAATGTGGGCTGATACTTAAATAGAGAAGATAAAAAGATAAGTCACATGTGTTATGTTTATAGCCAAAGAAGTTATATTGTCTTGATGTTGAAAGGCTTAATTTATTTTGGGTGAGACTACTATTACGAATTTCATGTTTGAAATACAAAGTATGAGTCAGTGTTAGAAACCTACCTTCTGGGGTGCTGGGTGGCTCAGTCGGTTAAGTGTTTGCCTTTGGCTCAGGTACTGACCTCAGGGTCCTGGGATAGGGCTCCTTGCTCATCAGGGAGTCTGCTGCTCCCTCTGCTCTCCCCCTGCTTGTGCTGGCTCTATGTATCTCTCTCAAGTAAATAAATAAGAAATCTTTTCTAAAAAATTTTTTTTAAAGATTTTATTTACTTATTTGAGAGAGAGATCACGAGCAGGGGGAGGAGCAGAGGGAGAAACAGAGCCCTTGCTGAGCCGGGAACCCTATGCAGGGCTCCATCCCAGGACCCTCAGATCATGACCTTAGCTGAAGGCACAGGACTTTAACCAATTGAGGCACCCAAGGCTCCCATATAAGAAATCTTAAAAAAAAAAAAAAAAAAAAAAAAAGAAACTACCTTTTGAATTTGCATTTAAATTACTTAATTTAAATACTTAAAATGCCTTTTTAAAATGGGAAGTTAACTCAGTTTAAAATGTAAAGATGATTCAGTATAATTGTGAGTAAGAGTAAGTATTTGAAGCAGCTAGATAGTGTTCTTAAGAGTTAAGGACATCATTATAATACTCTTGGGGCCTGGTTTGCTAAATCAGAGTGATGGTTGTTAGAAGCAGCCTTCTTTTTTGTTTTTCAGGTGAAACCTAAGCATTTATCTTGCATTGGAGTCTGTTGTTTTTTGCTGGCTGCTAGGATAATTGAAGAAGAATGCAATGTTCCGTCCACTCACGATGTAATCCGGATTAGTCAGTGTAAATGTACTGCTTCTGACATCAAACGGATGGAAAAAATAATTTCAGAAAAATTGCACTATGAATTGGAAGCAACTACTGCCTTAAACTTTTTGCACTTGTACCATACTATTGTCCTGTGTCATACATCAGAAAGGTCAGTGGGATGACAAATAAAAATTCTGTACTTAGTGTCGCCGTAGCTAACAGTTACGGTGCCAGTGAAATTTATATTTTTGCTCTTCTAAATTTTCAACTTGGACTTTCAACAGCAAGTTCTTGAAGTCATTTAAATCTTTGGAGGTTTAATAAATAGATATTTTGTCTTGTCTTTTCATTGTATAGGAAAGAAATCCTGAGTCTGGATAAACTGGAAGCTCATCTGAAAGCTTGCCACTGCCGACTCACCTTCTCAAAAGCAAAAGTACGTTGATTTCTCCCCGCATATGTTTCGCTGTTTCTATTCTGAATTAAAAAAAAAAAAAAACCACAACTTCTTTTTCTTTTTTATTTTTTTAGCCATCTGTGTTAGCTTTGTGCCTTCTCAATTTGGAAGTAGAAACGTTGAAGTCCATCGAATTACTGGAAATTCTTCTCGTTGTTAAAAAACATTCTAAGGTAAGTTATCTTCAGTTCTTGTTCCTGAAAGCAGATTTCTCTGCTGATGTTTCGTTTTCTTTTCCCTTCTGATGATTTAAACATTAAGTAATACTTTATGGGGCTCTTAACTTTTGTACTTCTTGTCTCTCAAGTGTTGAGGTTGTCAAAATGTAGCTTTGTCGCAGACAGTGTGAAGCTGCGGGGGTACCTGAGTACTTAGCGTCGCTTCTTTCCGTGTTCAGAAGTCGTCCTTCTCTGGCATTCTCGCCAGTGGGTGACATAGCGGTCCACATTGCTCCATGCGCGTTGTTCTAAAATACATAGTAGTCAGTAGACTTAGTAAATACACTTACGGCAGGCCGTTACATCTGTAGGGCTAAATTGTCATCCCACTAGTGGCATTACCAAAATAACTTAGCCATATTTTTCCTTTGAAACCTCTTAGTTTGGCCCTCCTGAGAAGTTTTGCAGTCAGGGGTGTTAGCGCTAATAGGGAGTGCTTTGGCTTTTGTTAGGACAGACTCAAGCACTGGGACTGTGAGTCCAGTTGGACCAATAGAATCTTCAACAATGATAGTTTGTGTAGCAAAGGCTCGCGGTCAGGAAGCTGGACGACTCGTAGGGTTTGGGAAACATTTAAATGTAGGCTTAGAGTGGGAATGTCTAGGGGATAGTCAGCAGCAGGAATAAGGATATCCAGCTCAAATAGTTTTGGAAGCCAAGCATGGAAATGAGTCAGGGAGTCACAGATGACCAAGATTTGAACCTAATGATGGGAAGAATATTGATGCCATTGAGGGAAGTTTAGGAGAAATGAATTTGTGATCAAAGAAGCATGGTTTTGGGGCGCCTGGGTGGCTCAGTGGGTTAGGCCTCTGCCTTCGGCTCAGGTCATGGTCTCAGGGTCCTGGGATCGAGCCCCGCGTTGGGCTCTCTGCTCAGCGGGAAGCCTACTTGCCCCTCCCCTCTCTGCCTACTTGTGATCTCTGTCTGTCAAATAACTAAAAATAAAATCTTAAAAAAAAAAAAAAAAAAAAAAAAAAGGATGGTTTTAGGTACTTGCAGGTCTTTCAGATAGGTAGGTATTTAGCAGATACTTGGCAGCCTAGGATAAAAACTCAGGATAAATTATAGTTGGAGATTGAGATTTGAAATTTCTCATGAAGAAATAATAGTAGAAACCGTAAGAAACTTGTGGAAGTTTTTGCTTAGGGGTCAGCTGAAACTCTGGGTTTTCACTGTTGGTGATTTCCCCCTTAGGAGGCGAGGGAAGGAGGGTCTATGAGACAAGCGCACTGTCAGGTTGGAAGAAGGTTTTCGAGAAGTATTGCTGCTCAAGAGTATGGAATTTCAGTGAGCGACCAGCATAGAAAGAATCGAAGGAGGCTGTTAGATGCGGCAGCAGGAGGTGTCTGTAGAATGAGAAGCGAGTCAGCCAGCCTGTAGGGGTCAAGATGTGGCTGGATTAGGTGCTGATGGAGACCAAGATGATATAACGTTTTCTGTTGGTGATGAAAGTATTCATGAAGCATTTTCTTTTAAGCAAATAACTTCTGGTTTTCATTTAAATTTTCAATTTATTCATAATTTAGACCTTTAGTAATGTCTGGAAATACCTTTTTTTGAAAGATTTTGCTTATTTGACGTAGAGTGCACAAGCAAGGGGAGCTGCAGGCAGAGGCAGAGGGAGAAGCAGGCTCCCCACCGAGCAGGAAGCCCGTCGCAGGGCTTGACCTCAGGACCCTGGGATCATCACCTGAGCTGAAAATAGATGCTTAACCAACTGAGCCACCCAGATGCCCCTATCTGGAAATACCTTGAGTTGAAAATGTATTCATTGAAATAAGTTGGGGCAGTCCTCAGTGGGGGAGGAACTGTGCTCTTTGGGAGAAATGCCTTTTCTGTCATGTTGCTAACTTTTCCATTAGCATATGTCTGGTGTCCTAATGTAAATGCATATTTTCGGCAATCACACAGTGCTGTGTTATAGAAACCTAAATTATGTGAAATTCCTTTCACTGAGACTGTTAAAGAACATACTTAATAATAGGTTGATTAAACAACCTAATGTTCTTGGGTCAATGTATTTCCTTAAAATAGGCAAAGATTTTTATTAGGGTCTATGTAAATTATTTATACCTATATTGCTCCTCCGTTAAACCATTGGTTACCAGATTTTGTGGATTAGAATCGCTTGGGGAGCTTTAGAAAGTCTTGGCGCCCAGGTTACATTCCACGTCGGATAGGAACACCTGCTGGTGGGCGCCACGCGTCGGTGTATTGTAGGTGTTACAGGGTGATTCTAAGGTAGCAAACCTCTTCATTAAAATATTTTTTTCCAGGTTAATGACGCCGAGTTCATTTATTGGAGGGAGTTAGTTTCTAAATGCCTCGCCGAATATTCTTCTCCTGAGTGTTGCAAACCAGACCTAAAGAAACTGGTTTGGATCGTTTCGAGGCGCACAGCCCAGAACCTCCACAACAGCTACTATAGTGTCCCTGAACTGCCAACGATACCTGAGGGGGGGTGTTTTGATGAAAGTGAAAGGTAAGCAGGTTCCTTGACTAATTAGACTTCCCTGTAGTAAATAATGCTGATTTTATACTCAAAATGGAACCTAGGAGTATTATAGGGTTTTAGAGAAAGCCCCCACTCCAATAGCATCATTTCTTCAGGTGAGAAAAGAGCTAGAGGTAAAGTAGGTGGTGATTTAGAAGTATACCCTCCGGTCCCCCCCCCCTTTTTCTTTATTAAAAAAAAAAACACAGGATGCTCTGTTACTACGTCCCCAGGAATTGTAACTGGAAGTTTGCCCCTGTTGACCCCTTCACCTGTTCTCATCCCCTGCCTCTGGCAACCACCGGGCTATGAGGTGTGGTTTTTGTGTTTCTCATTTCTCGATTCCACGCATACGTGAGAGCGTACGGTGGTTTGTCTTTCCTCGGTCTGACTACTTCATTCCTTTCCTTTTTGAAAACTGGTTGTCTCACCTCTCCCTTGCTCTTTGAAATAGAGTTCAGTTTACAAACAAACGAAACCTGAAGTGGCACTCGGGGCTTCTCAGGGTTAGCAGGGGTTCCTCACGGGGTGCTGTGAGAAGAGGGTGTGGGTCAGACGACCAGAGATGAAGGGAACCACCACGGCCACCGCGGACTTCCCAGGATACTTTGACCATTTGGTCAAGTGCCACTGTCTCATTCAGTTAATTTTTGTTCATAAAATGAATAATTTTATTTGTTTATTTTATGCTCTAGTGATAAAGAACAAGAAGCTTTCATTTTTATAGCTGTTGGTTTCTTGGTTTGAGCGTAGCAGGGATATAGTTACTAATGCAAGAAGGACCTCAAAACTGTGGTGGGAGACATGTCGTCCTTTGTCTCCACTTACTGCATTTGAACTGCTTAGAATTGTATAGTTGCTGATATTTATTAATTGGTACAAGAATAATAGTTTGGCAGATAGTAATTTGTCTCGGCCTCTTAAAATATGTGTTTTCTAAGGAGATTATAATAGATTACAGTTGATTTTAGGGAATCCCTATAAGTTAAATTTTGTCTCCGTAAGGCTTAAATTTTGAATATAAAAATCCTGAAACTGGAGGTACTTGTTCAGTAGTTTTATTTCGCTTTTAAAGTCTTTAAATACTTTCTAAATGGAATCTTCTTTGTCTTTTTTCCCCCCTTCAGTGAGGATTCCAGTGAAGATATGAGCTGTGAAGACAGTCTGAGCAGCTCTCCTTCCAGTGATCAAGAGTGCACTTTCTTTTTCAACTTCAAAGTGGCACAGACACTGTGCTTTCCGTCTTAGAAACCCAGTTGTTCTGTGTGAGAATTTAGTGTGTGTGTGCAGATTTCAAAGCAATAAATGGGGGAGTAGGTAGTTTTCTGGTCCGTCCCCCTTCTAGACAGGAATCGCTTAGACTGGGATACCTACCTTCTATTTATTATTCAGATCAGATCTGGCCTATTTTCATATTTAATCCTAAGCCATCAAATGGGTTAGTGCCTCTTAAACGATTAACAGTGTTTTACACATTGGCACTTTATTTTTCTCATCGATCTTTAGCTGTTTAGGGGAGGAGGGAAGGTGCTGATACCTTCAATTTGTTACTTTTCAAGAAGATTTATCTTAAAACTTTTAATAAAGCCTTCATCTGTCCTTATTTAAACAGATTGGGAGTGTACGAGTACTTCCTTCGCAGGGACTGTGGATGACCCCTGAATGGTTTATCATAGATCTCCCCTACTCTCCGGTCTCCGAACAGAGAATATACTCTCCGGTGTCATACACATTTTGTTGTTTTGTTACTCTTTAAATGATCACTTACTCGCTTATGCAGACTCTATAAACTTAGGAATTAGAATACTGACATTTCTGTGAATTTTAGTATGTAATGTGCTAATTGAAGTTTCTGCTGAAGCAGAAGTACTTGACAGGCTACGGTTGTTAGATAGTTGCATTTTTAATGCCTAAGTATTGTCAGACTGTAGTATTATTTTAATGTTATTAAGACAACCCGTAATCTGTTAGTTGTGCATGCGCCTGTATGAAAGCAGTGTAGGAGTTGAAGAGAACTGGGTAACTGTGGAGTTGATAAACGTTGATCTAGTAACATTTTACTTCTTTTTCTTACATTCAAAAGTCTGCATGATTATGTTATTCCTTTGTAATTCACATTTCAAAAATAATGGTATGAGTGTATGGGTGCCGAGACTGAACATGAAGGTTAAAAAAAAAAAAAGTTAAGTGTTTGTAGTATTCTAGTTTTAAGCATATCTGTGTGGTGATACAGCCATAAGAGTAGGGATTTACAAACTCTGTACACGTGAGATTTTGTACAGAGAATTTTTTTAACTTTATAAATTGTATATGAAAATGTAAATCTTAAAAAATGTACATAAAAATACTGTATTTTTTTACCCTGTGTGTGTGGTAGTCTAGTCTCCTTGCATGTAAATATAATTTATTGTGTATTCTGTATTATAAATCATACATTGATGACTTTTTTAATGGTAAGTCTTCATTCATTGGATGTTTTCTGAAGTGGGTCTTTTTGAAGTAATGATAGATTACAACTTAAAATAAAAATGCTAATGAATTCTACTCTTTGTTTGCAGTTGTATCTTAATATCTTGGTTCAGAAGAAAAAGTGCTTGCTGTGTTTGCATGGGAAGGCTTGGAGTGAGGCTGGAGTGCCTCCAAGACAAGCTCTCTCTCTGGTTACCAGAAGACCTCTAGGTAGTGTTTCTTCATCACAGTTTGGCCCTCAGCCTTGGAGATCCTGAAAGCAGATCTGTCACTTGAGAATTGACCTCTGCCTGGGGTGGACTCATGCGAAACAAAAGAGTGATGTGTTGACCTGAAGGCCTATTAATTTATAGTGAAATGCAGCAGGTATCAAGCACAGCAGGATTCTCAGGTTGGAAGATCAGTACGATTTCTTTCTGCACGCAGGCCATGCTCTGATCAGAAGGTTGCTTGGCAAGTAAACGCCAGCGTGCTGCGACTGACCCTGCCGGCCTCTGGCTCTTTGAACCTCTCTTCCCACTCTCTTCCCAAGACTTAGGCTTGCTTCGCAAGTCATGGTGGGGTTTATTTGGACAAGGGGGTATATGTTCCACCTCTGGTTTGATTTCGTAGACCTTTGTTTTCTCTAGTTGGTTGGAAAGTCATCTACTGAATGAGGTTTTCGTGTAATACTAATACCTCCTCTCAGTGATACAGCCATGTTTTCCTAACTCTCCCAGTGGAGACTCTTGGCTTGAGGATGACCCTTCCCTTCTTACTAAGCCATGAGGGTGTATAGTAGACAGTATATTCTGCTTTCAGATTTTGTTCTGTTGAGATGTGAAAGGTATTTGTGGCTTTCCAAATCTTAAAGCCCTCTTCAGTTCTCCAGGATTTTGATTGCTTTTCTTTTCTTTTTTAAAAGATTTTATTTATTTGACAGATCGCAAGTAGGCAGAGAGAGAGGAGGGGGGGCGGGGGGGCGGGGGGGATGCAGGCTCCCTGCTGAGCAGAGAGCCCGATGTGGGACGCGATCCCAGGACCCTGAGACCATGACCTGGGCCGAAGGCAGAGGCTTTAACCCACTGAGCCACCCAGGTGCCCCTTTGATTGCTTTTCTTAATAGGTGCACTTAATATGTAAATGTACACACATGGTTTTGTCTGTTCCCCTTTATGGTTTTCCGCATACTTGGTCTAGCGGCCTTTACTGAGCTTCCAACTTGTTTTTTCACAACTGGCTGCCCCACCTGGAAGTTTCCGATTCTTCCCAAACCTGCTCTTCCTGTATGTCTATCTTGATGGAATAGTATTGTCTACTCAAGTTGGAAGCTCAGGCGATCTCCCCATCTCCTCTCACCCGTTTACTGGACATCACCCATTTATCGTTTATATGATTTCATTTATACTGTCTGGCTCTACTCTGTCTCCTGTTTTCTGCCACTGGCTTGGTTCAGTCCCGTTCTCTCTATCAGCAGGATCACTATAGTATCCTAGTCATTTCCCGGGATGTGGCAGGCGCGCTTCGTAGCTTCTGCCATTCTGCATGCGGTAGCATCGCCGCCTGGTCCTTGTGCCTCCACCCAGTTGACCCCCAGGAAGTGCGCTTGGACGGATAGCTCTGTCTTCTTCGCCTGTCAGCTATGGATGCATTCGTTGCAGAGCACTTCTCAGGACGGTTTTAACCATTTTCTTTGTCAAGGATTTGACTTCTCCCTTCATTTCCTTTCATTTCCACACTCCAACATGATGCTCCTCCCCCTTGCCTCCTGCCTTCCCCTGCGTGCGTCCAAATGGCCAGCTTATTTAGGCAAACCCATTTTTACGAGAATCCTATAGGGACAAAGACCACGTAGTCTGCATTTGTCATTTCTGAACCGAGTTTTTCTAATTTTTTGTACCAGAAATGGGTGAAGAACCTACCGTTCTTGTGTTTAGCAAGTCAGGTTGTGCGGTAGATAGTTTCCCAATAGCTATTGGGTCTTCCCAGCCCTGTGCACACACACTGCTCTTCCCGGCGAGAGAGGTGGAGTCTGTTCCCCTTGAATTTCATGTAATTGTCCTTCGTTTTACTTGTCCCTAGTTTTGTCCCTAGTTTCACTTGCTAGAGTGGAAGAAGTTCAGCGTATGTCCAACCCTATGCTTTAAGAAGACGGGCAGCCTCCTGTTCATCCTTGGAGGCCGGCCAGATGCTGCAAAGAAGCTCAGGTTGGATTACTGAAAGATGAGAGGCCAGGTAGAGAGAGGCTCTTGAGGACGAGAGATCATCTGGGATGTTCTAGTTTGCCATGAGGTATCTTCAGGTACAACACACAGAGCTAAGGAACCCACTCAAGCCGCAGACTCATGAAAAATAAATTGTTTCAAGCCACTAGCTTTTGGGGTGGTTTCTTATACAGCAATAATTAATCTAGACAGGTTGCTTGTTATTTATAGTCCCATGGTGTTTATCTCTGAGTGATGAAATTATAGGGATTGTTCTAATAATGCTTATGTCTAGTTTCCACTCTCCTTTAAAAATGGATTTAAATTATTAGTGTATGAACAGAATAAAGAATGAACTAGAAAAAAAGCACACACTGATTATGTCCTTTCTTTGATTAAAATCCTTTACGGCTTCACATTGGTCCTCAGCATGAAGTTCAAACTCCTTACCATGGCTTCTAAGACCCTGCTTGGTTTGATCCCTGTCCGAGCCTGTCCCTCACGGCATCCGCACACATCTTTCCAGCCTGGTTGCATATCAGCTCCTCCCGTTCACTGTACTCTCGCTCACCGCGGGAACTTCATGGACACTTTCTCATCTGTCTGGCACACCTTTCCTGGCATCCTCATCTGGCAAACGCCTGCTTTCCACTGTAGGACTCATTTTATTTATCCCCCAGGTGTCCGAGCGCCTCTTACGTGGCAGGTGCTGCACTAGAAGTTTGATACATAAAACCAAACACAACACACTGTGTCCCTGCCCTCATGCGACTTACATTCACATGAACAATGCACAGCAAAGAACATCATTTTTAAAGGTTATGATGGTATTTTCTTCCAAGAAATCTTTCTGGAACTCCTTTACTTTCCTATCTCAGTGCTACATGCTTCCATAAAGCTGTATTTTTCTTATCCTAGCAGTTGATGCCTTGCTTGTCTGTCTCTGTGCGCTCCCCTTGCCTGTCGGACTGGAGAAGGCAGAGGCTGTCTGTCTTCCTTATTCATCCCTGAATCCCCAGCCCGGTCTCTGGCTCAAAGGCCTTCTCCTGCAGCTGTTCTTTACTGACCTTACTGCTCACTTTATACGTTTCAGGAACCTTGTAAGAACTATTTAACTTTCGCCACAGCCTATTAGACAAGTACGGCTATTGGTCCCATTTTACAAGGAGAGAAACGAAAAGATTAGAGAAATATCTGGATGACATAGATCTGATGAGTGGGGCTGAAATTCAAACCAATCTGTCTGGGAAACTCTTACGTTCTTTCTTAAGCCACAATGCTAAAGTCATATCCAGATGTCGATGGTGCTAATTGAACAGTTACTGAATGAATGAAATAAAGTTCTTATAAAGAAAGCCCTACTCATTACACCAGTAAGATAAGCCACAGTATTCTCTTCGATTTTTAAGTGCTTTTACCCATATAAGGAAAACGCAGCTAAGAGAGTTAAAATACCTCGTGGTAATATAAAAATTCAAGACAGTACAGTGTACAGAAAATGAGGTCTCATCAAAAGCTGGGGATTTAAATTTTCCCCAGAAACTTCTTTGTGCTCAGGCATGCGGGCCCTTCCCGATGCCTAGTTCCTTTTCATGCTTAAGTTATAGTTCAGACTTTATCATTACCTTGGGTTCCAAGGCCCACAGTCATTTGATGTTCAAGGGGGTAGAACCTTGTATTAATTAAGGACTGTTTTGTTAGAGGTTTGCTTGCCCTTTGCCTGTCTTACTGTTATCCAACACAACCATCATTTCCCACTTACTCATTTATGTTCTGGGATTTTTTCCAGTAATTATTTCATGTGCCTGTGGTTTATCCTTTCATCCAAACTCTAAAACTTCTCTTGAGAAGAGACCGTGTGTTACGCTTCCTTTTCATCACTCGCGGTGCCAAGTCTAATGCTGGGTAAAGCCTGTGTCAACATTTTTCTACATGTATCCCACCGGATGGTGTCTTTGCCGTTCCTGACTGCAGTGATTCAGAGTTCGGAAACATGAACTTCCACACGTGCAAGATGGATTCACCCTCTCCGAAGGTAGGATTTCACGACGGTACTGAGGCAGGCAGGGGGCCATCGCCCACGGCTACACAATTGTGCACCTTCCTCCTGAGTAAGACGTAGTGATTAGAAACACTCTCCCTCTCACCAGACAGTCCGGGTTTGAACCCAGTTTGGCCTCTCAGTATGTGACCTGACTGGCTGTTATCTAAAGTGTTTGTGCCTCAGTTTCCCTATCTATGTAAAGGGTCAATAACATGACCTACTTGTATTGGACACAGAAATGTGTTGCCTAGATGCCCCAGCTGTTGGGAGTGCTTTTGGCACAAAACCTTCAGCTAAAAACCCCTCTGGGGCAACACACCCCGAGAGCAGCCCCACCCAAGGTCATGTCTTGCCCAGGAGGGCCCATATCTATGACAGATTAAGGTGAGAGGAGGTGAAAGTTTCGGTCACTTTGGTCCAACACAGGACAACCTGATGGATCACTTCGGTCTCGGAGCTCCCCGTGGCTTGGCTGACGCTGCCGTTGGGCCTGCACGAAGGCTCACTTTCTTGCACCCAAACTTGCTTCTTTCCCTTCTCTGCCATGGATGCGGGTCCTGAGGGTGCTTCCTGATGAACACCCTGTACCCTAAAGTTTGTCTCAGAGTCTGCTTCACGGACATCACCACCAGCCAACACTGCCTTGTGGGGTTGCCGCGTATATTGAATGACATCATGATACATGATGAAGAATTTGAAACAGCGCCTGATACACACCCAGTAACTATTAGCTATGGTAATTATTACCCCACTTTTGCCCTACCTTCTTCCTTCCCTAAAGTAAGACCCAATAATTTATTCAACTAGTATTAAGCTACTATGATATACTGACTTCGGTTCAAGGGCTG